CGGGGGAGCAGCCTCACTTTGCAGCTTTGCTCGCCTCGGTAGGGAAATGGACCGGGGCGGAGGCGGGGGACAGGTGGCGAACGGAGTGGCCACGTCCAGGGTTTCCTGCGGCCACCGAACCGGTGCCTCGCGCCCTGGCGCACGGACCTCCTCCGTTCGGGGCGGACTTGGGGTTCCAAAACAGCCCCAGCCGGTGGCGGAGTCTCTGCGACAAGGACCAGCTGGCCTGCCCTTGTCCTTGTCACTGACAACGGGCCCCGGATGTGGGCCTCAGGCGGGGACAGGTGCCCGCACGGAGGCCTCCAGGGCCGCTATGCACCTGCGCGCGCCAGGCGGCCTGGACTACACAGGGCGTGTGGGTGTTTTCCCTTTTCTAAGGATCATATGAGTAATGCCAAGCTTATTGTAGGGAACGCAGAAATAACAATAACCGTAAAGAGTAAAAACCTATAATCCCAGAATTTTGAGAATCCCATAATTAATAATTAGGTATATCTTTCTTTTTATTTATTTGTTTGTTTTATTTTATGTTTTGAGACTCAGTCTCGCTCTGTCGCCCAGGCTTGACGATCTCAGCTCACTGCAACCTCTGCCTCCCGGGTTCAAGCGATTCTTCTGCCTCAGCCTCCGGAGTAGAGTAGCTGGGATTACAGGCGCGGGCCACCACCCGGGGCTAATTTTTGTAGTTTTAGTAGAAACGGGATTTCTCCACGTTGGTCAGGCTGGTCTCGAACTCCTGAGCTCGTGATCCGCCCGCCTGGGCCTCCCAAAGTGCTGAGATTACAGGCCTGAGCCACCGCGCCCGGCCTATTTTATTTTTTTATTTCAAACAGCCTTGTTCTGTCGCCCAGGCTGGAGTGCAAGGGCACGATCTTGACTCATTATAGACTCTGCCTCCCGACCTCAGACCATCAGTCTGCCTCAGCCTTTATGCCTGGCTAATTTTTGTGTTTATTTATTATTACATATTATTATTATTGAGACAGAGTTTCGCTCGTTGCCCAGGCTGGAGTGCAACGGAGCGATCTCGTCTCACTGCAGCCTCCGCCTCCTGGGTTCAGACGATTCTCCTGCCTCAGCCCCCTGAGTAGCTGGGACTACAGGCATGCACCACCACGGTCGGCTAATTTGTATTTTTAGTAGAGACGGGATTTCTCCGTGTTGGCCAGGCTGGTCTCGAACTCCTGATCTCAGCTGATCCACCCACCTTGGCCTCCCAAAGTGCTGGGATTACAGATGTGAGCCACCGCGCCCGCCGAATATTTGTATTTGTAGAGACGAGACCTCATTATGTCGCCCAGGCTGGTCTCGAACTCCGGGGCTGAAGTGATCAGTCGGTTTGGGCCTCCCAGAGTGCTGGGATTACAGGCATGAGTCGCCACATTCGGCCTTAAAAATAAGATTTAAAATGGTGACTGGTATGTTGCACCATTATTCAAATGTTAGACATGTAGTTTGGCTTAACTGTGGAATAAACAACTTGGCTGCTGGTTCGCGCGCGCTCTCTCTCTCTCTCTTTTTTTTTTTTTTGGAAACAGTGTCTCGGTCTGTGGTTCAGCCTGGAGTGCAGTGGCACATTTACAGCTCACTGCAACCTCCATCTCCTGGGCTCAAGTGATGCTCTTACCTGGACCTCCCAAAGTGCTGGGATTACAGGCATGAGCCACAGCTCCGGCATCTCTTGATTTATTTGTAAGATGGTGCCTAGAAGTGGAGTGGCGTTTGCCAAAGCTCTCTGGAAGGGCTTTTATACTTTCACCAACGGAGTGGCCTAAATTCAGTAATTATACTCTCAAAGTAATGCAGTTTAGTCAACTCATGTTTTTCTAGCTTCAATCTGGGACTACATACTTAATGTTAAATTGCTTTAAAGTGGTCATAGCTACTACAGGTTTGTTCTCGAAGTCTGCACCTGACTGGTCTGATTTAAATTTCACGCCCCTTAGGGATGAACAATGTGTTTCAAACATGTACAGGATGGGGCTGCAGAAGACTTAAACGCTTGAGAGCAAGTGCTGTATTTTCCCCTTTTGTGACCCCAGTATTGAATTTAGTGTTGGGCAGATTAAAGGTGGTTCATATCGATTATAACTTGAACAGGGAAAAGTTGGCATCAACTTAGAGTACTTGGGATACGAAGGATCAATATAAAAATTCTGGTTTGTCGTGCTATCTTTTTCTTTTTTTCCCTCTTCAGTTGAACTGAGGAGATAGTTTTTGTTTTAATGATTGTGCGCTTTTAACTAGACAAAAGGAATTAGATAGTCTTGCCAATTCGCAGTTAAATGAACTTTTGAGGTAGTTAAGGACAAAACTATTAAACTGACATCAATAACCCAGAATAGGCTGCTTAGTATCACTCTCCAAATCAGATACTAGGATTTAATTTAGTTAGGAAACTCACTTACAGAGATGACTATAACTGCAGTTGAAAGTGTAATGTTTCTAAGATATAAAACGGTTTAAAGATTGAATATATTCTTGTTAAGCCCCAAAGGAAACATCCCTCATTTAAGAAAATGGGGTGGGAGAGCGACAGAAGGTGAAGATTTGCAGATCCTAGAATTGAATTGTTGATTTTTTTGTAAAAGAGTCAGTAACAGCTGGCCATGGTGGCTCACGCATGTAACCCCAGCACTTTGGGAGGCTGAGGTGGGTGGATTACCTGAGGTCAGGAATGCTAGACCAGCCTGACCAACATGGTGAAACCCCATCTCTACTAAAAATACAAAAAAAGGCCGGGCGCGGTGGCTAACACCTGTAATCCCAGGACTTTGGGAGGCCGAGGCGGGCGGATCACGAGGTCAGGAGTTTGAGATCAGCCTGTCTACTAAAAATACAGAAATTAGCCAGGCGTGGTTGCGGACCACTGTAGTCCCAGCTACTCAGGAGGCTGAGGCAGGAGAATCGCTTGATCCTGGAAGATGGAAGTTGCAGTGAGCTGAGATCATACCACTACACTCCAGCCTGGGCGACAGAGTGAGACTCTGTCTCAAGAAGAAAAACAAAAAAAGGCTGTGACTAACAGGGATGTTATTTAGCAGGACAGGAGTGAGGAAAGAGCTAAGACTGGGAGTTTCACAAAGACAAAGCTATAAATGATGTTTGGAGAGCTGTGTTCTTGTTTTAAAAAATTGTAACAGGAGGCCAGGCACAGTGGCTCATGCCTATAATCCCAGCACTTTGGGAGGCTGAGGTGGAAGGATTGCTTGAGGCCAGGAGTTCAACCAGCCTGGGCAATATAGCGAAACCCCGACTCTACAAAAAGTAAAAAATTAGCCAGGCATGGTGGTGCATGCCTGTAGCCCCAGCTACTTGGGAGGCTGAGATGGGGGAGGATCACTTGAGTCCAGTAGGTCCAGGCTGCAGTAAGCCAAGATTGTGCCACTGCATTCCAGCCTGGGCCACAGAGTGAGACCCTATCTCAAAAAGAAAAAAAAAAAAAATCAAAACAGGAATGCATGTAGATTAAACTATGCATCTGTATACAGTATGCAGACTTTTGCAAGTGCCAGGCACTTAGGAAGTAGTCTATAGCTGAAAAATAAAACTTTCAGGACCACTTTTTAAGGTTTTGTGTCCTTGTAACTTTAAGGCATTATTATTGCAATATAACTTAGCTGGGACATGAGAGTTAATAGATCCATATTTTAAAGTAGTTTTTTTGTTTTTTTAAATTTTCTAGAATGTGTCTGTGAAAACTACAAGCTGGCTGTAAACTGCTTTTTGAATGACAATGGTCAATGCCAGTGTACTTCGATTGGTGCACAAAATACTGTCCTTTGCTCAAAGCGTGAGTAAAATATCCTTATTACCTGTAAGCTTTATTTTGACTTAATACTTCTTTAATTTATGTGCCTTGAGTTGGAAAGAGTTTTATTGGCTTAAATCTGAATCATGTTATAAAGTAAGTGTGGGAACACATAAGTTTCAAATAATCTTTGACCCTGGAACTTTATAGTTAATTTTTTTTTTCCTGTAATCATGAAATCGGTTATTTTTCAGTTTGGCATTAAGGTTTCTTTTTCAGTGGCTGCCAAATGTTTGGTGATGAAGGCAGAAATGAACGGCTCAAAACTTGGGAGAAGAGCGAAACCTGAAGGGGCTCTCCAGAACAATGATGGCCTTTACGATCCTGACTGCGATGAGAGCGGGCTCTTTAAGGCCAAGCAGTGCAACGGCACCTCCACGTGCTGGTGTGTGAACACTGCTGGGGTCAGAAGAACTGACAAGGACACTGAAATAACCTGCTCTGAGCGAGTGAGAACCTAGTGAGTGGGGTTGCCTATACTACTTGTTTTCATGCTGTTCAGATTCATTTAATTAAATTTATTTTTGATTATGTAATACGATTTCATGGTTTAGAATTCAGAAGATAAGAGTGTCCAGTGAAAAGCTTCCTTCTTATTCCAGTCTCCACTGCTACCCAGTGGACCTCCATAGAATTGACGTTATTGATTATTCTGTAACCTTCCAGAGATAGTTGATGAATGTGTTATGTATCTGTTTTATTATTTTTACGTAAACGGTAGCATACTAGGTATAATTTTTCTTTTATATCTTTCCTTAACATTATTCAGTATTTCATAGTTGCATTAGTATTAAATGTATGTAATTTAACCTATGTATTTGCTCATTTATTGTGCTTTAAAAGTGAGATATGCTTTAGGGATTGTTTAATGAAAAGGAACAGAAACCTACTCACGCTAGCTTAAGCAAAAAAAGACTTCATTGGAAGGCACTAGAAACTGGAAAGGATGTGAGGACCAAAGTGGGCACTTCCTGTTTTTCTATTTTGGTCTTCTGGAGCCTCCTTGTCAATTTTCTCTTTGTGCCCTTTCTTTTCTTTTTTTTTTTTTGAGACAGAGTTTCACTCTTGTTGCCCAGGTTGGAGTGCAGCGGCACAATCTCAGCTCACTGCAGCCTCGGCCTCCTGGGTTAAAGCAACTCTCTTGCTTTAGCCTCCTGAGTAGCTGGGACTGCAGCTGTACCACACCTGACTAATTTTTGTATTTTAGTAGAGACGGAGTTTCACCGTGTTGGCCAGGCTGGTCTCCAACTCCTGACCTCAGGCAATCCACCCACCTCCACCTCCCAAAGTGCTGGATTACAGGTGTGAGCCACTGTGCCTGGCCCTTTCATGCCTTTTCATCTTTTCAGTTGAACAGGGCACAACACTGCCAGCTAAACCTTGACTTCATGTAACCTTATGTATTGTGTCCAGAGAACAGAGGGTCAGTATTAGAAAGGGTGTTCCCTGCTGGGTGTGTCCTTTATGAAGGATGTGTAAGGGAATAAATTATGGGAATAGCTACTGCATAAATTTTTTTTCTCTTAGTCCTTATAATTCAAGAATTTTAGTATTAGCTTATTAGGAAAATAGTATAAAAGACTGAGTTATAGTCAACTGACATTGTCTTTTTACTTTATAGCTGGATCATCATTGAATTAAAACACAAAGCAAGAGAAAAACCTTATGATGTTCAAAGTTTGCGGACGTAAGTGCGATGAAATGCATCATATTATTCTTGCGCAATTGGTGGCTCAAATCTTCCATCCTACAGCATTTGAAAAGCCAAGTCTAAATGCTTTTTCATATTTCTGAAAAACAAAGTTACTTGAAATAGAGTTACAAGAATAACGCAGAGATTCCAGGAATACACTTCACTCAGATTCACCAATTAACATTTTGGCATATTTACTTTTTATATATGTATGTATGGATGAATATGTGTGTGTGCTTTATATCAGTGTATCTATGCATGTAGAAATATTTTTCCCAGAAGCATATGAAAGCAAGTTGTAGATATCAGGCCCCATTATCCCTAAGTACTTTAGTGTATTTTTTCCTAAGAACAAAAGGCATTCTCTTATATAAACCACTATACAACAATCAAATTTAGGAATTTTTCTTTTTTAGACGGAGTCTCGCTCTGTCACCCACGCTGGCGTGCAGTGGCATGATCTTAACTTACTGCAACCTTTGCCTCCTGGGTTCAAGCTATTCTCCTGCCTCAGCCTCCCAAGTAGCTGGGACTACAGGCGCCTGCCACCACGCCCAGCTAATTTTTGTATTTTTAGTAGAAATGGGGTTTTACCATATTGGCCAGGCTGGTCTCGAACTCCCAAACTTGTGATCCTCCCACCTCCGCCTCCTAAAGTGCTGGGATTACAGGTGTGAGCCACCGCACCAGGCCAGGAAATTTAACATTGTATCACATTGTACCCATTTTCCCAATATTGTCCTTTGTGGTACTTTTTCCCCTCTGATTCAGAACCCAGTCCAAGATCATGTATCACATTAGTTGTCATGATTCTTTAGTCTCTTTTAATATTTGAACAGTTTCTTGGCCTTTCTTTGTCTTCCATGAACTTGCTATTTTTGAAGAGCATAGGCAAGTTGTTATATATAATGTCCCTCAAATTGTGATTTGTCTGATGTTTCTTCTTTTTTTTTTTGAGTTGGAGTTTCCTAACAAAGTTGCCCAGGCTGGAGTGCAATGGCACAATCATGGCTCACCGCAACCTCTGCCTCCCAGATTCAAGTGATTCTCCTGCCTCAGCCTCCCGAGTAGCTGGGATTGCAGGCATGCGCCACCATGTCTGGCTAATTTTGTTTTGTATTTTTAGTAGAGACGGGGTTTCTCCATGTTGGTCAGGCTAGTCTCGAACTCCTGACCTCAGGTGATCCGCCCACCTCAGCCTCTCAAAGTGCTGGGATTACAGGCATGAGCCACCTCACCCGGGCCTTGATGTTTCCTCTTAACTAAAAACACATTATGCATTTTTGACAGGAAAGCTACTTATGCTATCTTGTGTCCTTTGTAGTACTTCACATTAGGAGTTGCATGATGTCAGCTTGTCCCTTTACTAGTAATGTAAACTTTGGTTAAAGTGGTATCCACCAGGTTTTTCCACTGTGAAGTTACCATTCTCCCTTTGTAATCCATAAGTAATCTATGGGCAGATACTTGGATATTAAGTAAATGTTCTTTTTCTAATTAAACTGGCACCCAGCAGTTTGAATATCAATGGATGATTCTAGCCTGAATCAATTATTATTATGATAGTTGCAAAATGGCAGAAAAATTTTAACTTGAATGACAATTCTACACCATGAGCTATCTGCTTTAAGAGTAGTGCTTCTTACTGTTGTGTGGTACAAACATATTTTTTTAATACAGATTTTAAATTCTTTACAGTGCACTTGAGGAGGCGATCAAAACGCGTTATCAACTGGATCCAAAATTTATCACAAATATTTTGGTATGATTTTTTAATAAGTGAGCTTTAGCAGGTGGTTGGTGAGACAGCATGTTTTGAGTATAAGGACAGCCAGTGATTTAAGTGGTGGTTAAATACACTTACTAGAGCAACAGTTTAAGATCTTGGGTACTTAATGTGAATTTCCTGTTACTGTTTTTTGTTTGTTTGTTTCTTTAAGACAGACTATTGCTCTGTTCCCCAGGCTGGAGTGTGGTAGCAAGATCCCCACTCACTGTAACCCCTGCCTCCAAGGTTCAAGCAATTCTTGTGCCTCAGCCTCCTGAGGAACTGGGACTGCAGGCACGCGCCACCATGCCCAGCTAATTTTTGTATTTTTAGTGTTAACAGGGTTTTGCTATGTTGGCTAGGCTGGTCTCGAACTCCTGGGCTCAAGTGATCTGCCTACCTCAGCCTCTCAAAGTGTTGATATTACCGGTGTGAGCTACAAAGCCCAGCCGGTTGTTTTCGGTTATCGTTGTTTTCCTTCCATAGCCTTTGAAAAGCCTAGTTTTACTCCTAAAGAAAATGTAGTATCTCTTAGTATCCCTAAAACATTTGGGTTTTCTTTTCCTGGAGAACCTGTCCTTGTGGATGAGCTCCAGTAACATCTTAAAGTAAATATGCACCAAAATAACTTTCGGTAAATATGGTTTTGGTGCATATTTACTTTAGGATGTTACCGGAGCTCTCATCTTCTCTGCTTTCAGGAACTGGTCCTTAACCAGTTAGCCCCTATTTAACTCTTTAAACTCTGGTTTAAAAAAAAAAGAAACTTGAATAGTGTGATGGAACTCTTTAAAGGCAGTATGAATTTATTTAAGACTCTTTAGAAAGAATATACTTTTTTTACTCTTTAAAAACAACATGGTAAATGCATACTGCATTTTACCTTGCATTTCTTTCTTTTTTTTTTTTTTTGAGATGGAGTTTTGCTCTTGTTGCCCAGGCTGGAGTGCAATGGCGTGGTCTCGGCTCACCACAACCTCCGCTTCCCAGGTTCAAGTGATTCTCCAGCCTCAGCTTCCCTAGTAGCTGGGATTACAGGCATGTGCCACCATGCCTGGCTAATTTTGTCTTTTTGGTAGAGATAGGGTTTCTCCATATTGGTCAGGCTGGTCTTGAACTCCCGACTTCAGGTGATCCGCCTGCCTCGGCCTCCCAAAGTGCTGGGATTACAGGCATGAGCCACCGCACCCGGCCTTACCTTGCATTTCTTTAGTATTTGAGTTTTAAAGTAGTTCTAATGCAAATAAAATACTTTCATATCTTATTTAAAAACCTTTTCAATATAAGAAAATTCTCTTAGGAAAAATTGTGCATTGTAATTATGTTTGGTTTCATGGCTGTCTTATTTCCCTTTGATAGATTTAGAGACCTCCCAAAGATTTCTCGATTAATGATCAACTTAATTATCCACTAATGGAAAGGAACAGCGATGCATGTAGATTACAGAAAATCAAACACTGACTATTCTGATTCTCAAATAATGTTATTTTCAAATGATTTTGACTATATTAGTATTAATTTGTATTATTCAATTTTTTTTCCCCAGTATGAGGATAATGTTATCACTATTGATCTGGTTCAAAATTCTTCTCAAAAAACTCAGAATGATGTGGACATAGCTGATGTGGCTTATTATTTTGAAAAAGATGTGAGTATAATCTTCTTTATTCTATTCCTGGTTCAGGAATGTAGTCTATCATGCCTCAATGAATTAAATATATTTCATCACCTTTTTCTCCACTTATAGATCAACCAAATGGTTCTGCTGCTGCCATTAATTTTGTCCTGCCTGTCACTCACATGCATCTTACTTGTTTGTGTATTTATGCCTCTTATCAAATTGTTCTGCCTAAAATATCTCCTCTGTTTCTTATAATTCTTATTTATTATCTACTTGGTAGTTACTTAGTTTGTACATATATGCTCCCCTATGATATTTATAATTTACACAAATAAGAGTTTGTTTAAAAAGACTGTGTAACTGGTATGATTAAAATATTTTGTTTAAACTTTAATGTATTATAGTGAAGTATTTTCTGCTGAAATATGAGGTTTGCTTCAAAATAATCTGGGTGGGGGTGAAGGGATAGAAGGAAGAAAAGATGAAGTAAGAGAGGCTGTGTGTTGATGTCCTTGCATCTGGGTGATAGGTACATGGGCGTCATTGCACTACTCTTTCTACTTCCGTGTATGTTGAAAGGTTCCTGTAATAAACAGTTTTTTAAAGTTCCAATAGATTAGATTGTTATCACTAAAACCATAAAGATTCTTGGCAGCAGTTCCTTTGGCATACAATTTGTATGTAATTATATGTGACCATGGTTTGTTTTCTTAAATATTTTTAATTCCTTTTCTCCTTTTCAATACAGGTTAAAGGTGAATCCTTGTTTCATTCTAAGAAAATGGACCTGAGAGTAAATGGGGAACAACTGGATCTGGATCCTGGTCAAACTTTAATTTATTATGTCGATGAAAAAGCACCTGAATTCTCAATGCAGGGTCTAAAAGCTGGTGTTATTGCTGTTATTGTGGTTGTGGTGATAGCAATTGTTGCCGGAATTGTTGTGCTGGTGAGTACAGAACAAGTAAAATTTCATTTAAGGGTATATTTTTTTAAGAAAAAGTAATAATGGCTGGGTGCAGTGGCTCACACCTATAATCGCTACACTTTGGGAGGCTGAAACAGGTGGATCACTTGAGCCCAGGAGTTTGAGACCAGGCTGGGCAACATGGCAAAACCTTATCTGTACCAAAAATACAAAACTTAGCCAGACGTGATGGCTTGCACCTGTGGTTCTATCTGCTTAGGAGGCTGACGTGGGAGTGGTCAGTTGAGCCCAGGAGATCAAAGCTGCAGTGAGCCATGATCACACCATTGCACTCCCGCCTGGGCAACAGAGCAGGACCCTGTCTCCAAAAAATAAATAAATAAATAAAAGGGGCCAGGCACCGTGGCTCACGCCTATAATCCCAACAGTTTGGGAGGCTGAGGTGGGTGGATCACCTGAGGTTGGGAGTTTGAGACCAGCCTGACCAGCATGGAGAAACCTGGTCTCTACTAAAAATACAAAATTAGCCGGGCATGGTGGCGCATGCCTGTAATCCCAGCTACTCAGGAGGCTGAGGCAGGAGAATCGTTTGAACCCAGGAGGCAGAGTTTGTGGCTGAGATCACGCCATTGTTCTCCAGCCTGGGAAACAAGAGCGAAACTCCGTCTCAAAAAGAAAGAGAGAGAGAGAGAGAGAGAGAGAGAGAGATCTTACTAACACAACAGAATTCAGAAACAGGTTTGAGGGTATTTGGAAACTGAGATTTCCAGTTCAATCAACCATGTTTGGCTATCCATCTAGAACAAAACAAAAGTTGAATTCCTATTTCACTCCACCAGGCTGGCCATATTGCCCAGCTGTGTGAGGGTGGTATGTCCAGAGCACAGCAGTAGGAAAGGAGTTGGGCAGTGTATCCGTGTTCAAAGACATTTACATTTTAAAAAATATAAAAAAGTAAAACAATTCCCAAGAAAATTAATTGATGGAATGTTTGTACAACCTTGTGGTAGGAGAAACCATGTAAGGCAAGAAATCTGGAATCCATGATACATATGTGTATGTATATTTTGAGAGAGGGTCTTGCTGTGTCACCCAGGCTGGAGTGCAGTGGCATGATTATAGCTTACTGCAACCTCCAGTTCCTGGACTTAAGTAACCCTCCTGACCCAGCCTCCCAAGTAGCAAGGACTACAGGTACCTGCCACCATACCTGGCTAATTTTTTAACTTTTAGTAGAGACCAGGTCTTGCTATGGCTGCCGAGGCTGGTCTTGAACTCCTGGGCTCAAGCAATTCTTCTGGCTTAGTCTCCCAAACTGCTGGAATTACAGGCATGAGCCATTGCACCTAGTCCTATATATATATATTTTGGCTTCATTAAAACCAAACATTTTATATGACAAAGAAACTGTAAAGTAAAAAATGTCAATGATGGGCATGAAAAAAATATGGTGCATAAAGCAAGAATGGATATTATACATAATACACAAAGAGTTCTTACAAATTGATGAGGAAACCTAAAGAAAGAATTACAACAGGTAGGGATAGACAGTTAATAGAAATTTCAGATGGCAAATGAACACGAGTGGTTAATGCTGGAAGTCTAATTATCCTGTAGAAATAAATGAAAACACAAGTGCAATAAGGAAGCACATTCAGTTATTGTATCATAGCATTGCTTGTAAGGGTGAATCTGGCCAGGCGTGGTGGCTCACACCTATAATCCCAGCACTTTGGGAGGCCGAGGTGGGTGGATCACCTGAGGTCAGGAGTCCAAGACCAGCCTGACCAACATGGAGAAACCCCGTCTCTACTAAAAATACAAAATTAGCCAGGCATGGTGGTGCATGCCTATAGTCCCAGCTACTCAGGAGGCTGAGGCAGGAGAGTCGCTTGAACCCAGGAGGCAGAGGTTGTGGTGAGCCGAGATCACGTCATTGCACTCCAGCCTGGGCACCAAGAGCGAAACTCCGTCTCAAAAAAAGAATAAAAACAAACAAACAACAAAAAAAGTGAATCTGAAAAATAGCCTGAGTGTGTATCAGTAAGAGAGTAAATTGTATTTATTGTATCTACGATAGGGAATAATGTGAATGAATGAGTTCGATCTTTATCTTTGAATCTGGAATGGCTGCTATGATGTTGATACGGGATGTGCACAGGTGGTGATGATACTGCATGATCCCAGTTTTAGACCCCAAAACTTAGATGCATGTGTATATATATATGATATTTGTATTGGTGTGGAAAAGGAGGATGTGGAAGAATGCACACCAAACTGTTAAATTTCTTTCTTTTTTTTTTTGAAATGGAGTCTCGCTGGCCGGGCGTGGTGGCTCAGGTCTGTAATCCCAGCACTTTGGGAGGCTGAGGCGGGCGGATCACGAGGTCAGGAGATTGAGACCATCCTGGCTAACACGGTGAAACCCCGTCTC